GGCACAGGGGTGATTTGGTGATGGGAAACCCGCGGGGATTACAATCGAGATGGAAAAAAAAAATGTGCAAAATGATGTAAAAATAAACTTTGTAAAAAAAAGTCATCCGTTCTGGGCCCTCCCTGGTGGCGCAACGGGTTAGGACACAGCACTCAAGCTGGCCACAGATGCTTCAGGGTGAGTTCGATCCCCGGCCCCAGAGCTGACCCACAGGGCGCGACAGACCTCTCCTGACCAGCTGCCCCCCTCAGCAGTGTACTTCATCCATCTGCCTGCTCTGCTCCCCACTCTGTCTCTGGTGAATCCTCTCACTGCGCCTGCACCTCTGGCCTGTACCCCAGTTCTGTATGCAGAAATAAATACACCTTCAGGGAAAAAAAAATTCATCCGTCCCCTTATTCCCAAACTTTGAGCCTGAAAAGTAAAGTCTATTATGGATTTTCAACGGTGCCATCTGCCCATTTGCTGAGTGGCTGGGCTCTGTCTGGTCTACCTCTCCCTGTGCTACTGGAAGACCCCGGAGTCAGTGCAGCTCATGCTGAAGAAGAAAGGAGTGAAAAAAACTAAACTGTGTCTACGAGAGCAGGTCCCAGACCTGGGCGTAGCCAATGAGGTCTCTGGGCCGAGGTGATGGTCGGCCAAAGTGAGGGCTGCAGGTGCTTTAGAAACACCACTGACATGAAAATTTTATTTTTTTAAGGGTTTATTTTTTATTTGTGCATACAGAACTGGGGTACAGGCCAGAGGTGCAGGAGGTGAGAGGACTCACCAGAGACAGAGTGGGGAGCAGAAGAGGCAGCTTGGCTGAAATGCACTGCTGAGGGGAGCAGCGGGCGGGTCAGGAGAGGTCTGCCACGCCCTGTGGTCACCTCGGGGTGGGGATTGCACTCCTGCTGAGGCAGCTCAGCAAGCTTCGCAGTGCTGCGCTTTAACCTCTTGCGCCACCAGGAAGGGCCCTGACATGAAAATTTGAAGAAGCACATCCCAAAGGTAACTTCTGAGTTGGCTTCTTAGTTCTTAAGATGATGAATTGAGGGACAAAAAGAGTATCAGAAGTGACAAGAAGAGGGTCTCCCTCGTGGCACAACAGGTTAAAGGTTGAAGCACAGCACTGCAAAGCTCGAAGCTCGCTGTAGCTGCCTCAGTGCGAGTTCGATCCAGGGCTCCGGGGGTGACCCACATGGCGCAGCAGACCTGACTCACCTGCTCCTCCCCTCAGCAGTGGATTTCAGTTGATCTGCCTGTTCTGCTCCCCATTTTGTCTCTGGTGAATCCTCTCACTGCCCCCGCAACTCTGGCCTGTACCCCAGGTCTGTATACATGAATAAATAAGTCTTAAAAAAAGAAGTAATGAGGAGGCCAGGTTGCCAGGGACAGAGGGCTTGAATTTTGAAATGCAAAGTTGGATTCAAAGTTGCATTCTGCTAACCAGATGCCCGAGGGCGCTGGGCTTCACCTACCTCCGAGCTCCAGTAGGAGCTGGGCTGGCCACGCCCCTTGCCAGCGGGTCCCAGGCCAGAAGCACAGCGCGTGGGAGACATTGAAGCTCCCCCCTATTACAAACGTAGCCAACGAAAATAAACCCACCGTGGGGAAGCTGGGAGACAACCTAAATATTTATCCATTGGCACTGGAGAAATAAATACGTGAGGACGGTTAACACCAGCTGAACAATGAGGTCCAGATGTATAAAAATCTGTCCAAGACAAGCTGTTACATTAAAAAAGAGGGAGGATAATGTATATTTGCACGTTCCCACTGGTTTTGATATAGTCACACATTTCCCATCAGCAATAGGGAATTCTTGGACGGAGACCCCAGAGGGCCACTGTCAGCACGGAGACCCCAGAGGGCCACAGTCAGCCGGGGGCGACAATTGGCTACATATCGTGTATCTATTTATTTGATCATCGTATTTCATTCAATTAATTCAAGTGCGTGGTGGTTCAATAGCTGGAACATCCCAAAAATGCTCCCAGGAAAATACGGACCATGAGTAACTGAGAAAAGACAGCTCGTGCAGAGGTGCATGGCCCCGGCTCCAGCTGGCCTCGGCCACCAGAGACCGCGCTGCTCACTGACCTCATTTCCATCACCTCCCGCCGACTTTCTTCGTATTTGTCTTTCCACTCTGAGACCTCTCTCTCCTTGGTTATGATCTGGTATGGGGGAAGATGACAAAGGTTAGCCCCAAGGAGTACGTTTACGTCTGAGCAATCCGCAGTCCAAGACCAGGAGACATGGAATAACGCAGAATTAAAACTTCCAACACTAGCCAAGACTGTCTTCTGAGAACTTGCTCTGCCAGAAGACAGCAATGAGCCGAGCCAGAGCTCAGACATTCACCAGCCCTCTGCCCCAGAGCAACAAAAGGCGCCTGCTTTTCATTCTAAACCAAAGAAAGCCTAAAGGCTGCTCGTTAGCAGGACTGGGCCAGGCGACACCACCCCCTCCGCCCCGCCCCCTCCCCTCTCCCCCCTCCCGCTGCGGAGGGGGACAGTCTGTGTCCTGAGCCGCTGGCTGGCGACCCTGGGCTGTGTGCCTGTGGGCGAAAGCAGGTGCTGGGTGGAGCAGGGCTTCCCGGGGTGCCCCCCTGAGCCCGGCGCCGCACCTCGGCTCTGGCCACCTGGAGCGCGGAGTCCAGGCTGGGCTGCTGGAACAGGAGACCGGCCGGCTTCTCCACCTCGGCGGCCCCGATGCGGGAGTACAAGGCGCTTTTGGAGATGGAGGCGTCCGCGGGGGGAACAGCGTCTCTCTGCGGAGTGATTGTGCGTCAAAAGAAAGCAAAGGAAAACGTTAACATCCTTCTCACGAGAGCGGGCCACATCCACGCCCTCACGAATGGGTCACGGTATGGTTTGGAAACGACAGCGAAGGATGAAGCGATGGTGAGACCAACGAGCAGGTGATGCCGGGCACCACCGTGGGAGCCTGCCGCCTGCACTGCACAGGCAGACGGGGGGCTGGTGGGGGACCCCCGGGAGCCCCAGCGCCGAGTCCAGAGCGTCAAGAGCTTCTGGGGCCTGCCGTCACTGCCACTTATCAGATGCCAGGCTCCTGGGCCCAGCGCGGGACCCTGGCCGCCGGAGGCTTCTGCCTCGTCTTTAACAACCACAGAGCTGGTCGTTTTCTGAGTCTGTCCTCGTTTCAGGCTGGGACCATCGTTTACTCTGTCGAAAGGGATCGATCCGCACAAAGCTTAACGCCGACCACAGCTATCAACTGAGGTCACTTTCAACAGCTAGTTTCTGGTGCCTGCCCGCCAGCGGTGGTCTGTCAAGGCGCAGGGACGACTGAAGACTGGATCAGGAGCCATCCTCTCTCCGCTGACCGGACCCTCAGCCCAGTGCCACTGCCTTGACAGCTCTCTAGCCTGAGGATGGGGCCCCTCCCTGGCGGGGCGGGGCCTGCGTTCCCCCCTACGCCCAATGCACAAGATGCTCAGCCATTTCCAGCACACTCGAGATGCAGGGTTAGGAGGCCCCAGGCAGCGCAGGGGCTGTGTCTAGAGAAAGCAAACCAGCCACGCTCTCAGTCCTATTCATCAGCCGCGGGCTGCGAGCGTTCTGCTGGGCGGGAAGCGGTGGCGGGCTAACTCCAAGGTGTGACTGCGTCTTCCTTGGGAGATGGAGAACGGAGCCGTGCTCAGAACACCACAGGCAGTAGAAGAGCGGGCGGTTGGGGAAAGACTGGCACGGTCTCCTGTGAAGGCAGCGCCACCGGGCATGGGCGAGCAGCGTCCTGCTTGGACTTGAGGACTTCTCTCTCGGGCCACAAGGCCGCGCCTGCTCGCCCTGCTCCAGCACTGGAAGGGGCCAGGAGGAGGGTCACGGCTCAGAAACCCGGGCGGGGGCTAATGGGTAGGACTGGAGGTGAGCAAGTTAGGCCAGTTAGTCGGACACATGCGAGCTGAACGGAGGCCTCAGCGGTCACTCGGGCCTCGCTGTCCCTGCGCGGCCTTGAGCGTGTCGGCTAACCATATCGCTACCGCTGGCCAGAGAGGGGGGCACCCGGGCCTTGTCCGACCCTGCAGACTCACTCCTGTGTCCAGGGGAGGCCACGTCTCGTTGGGCCCGGGTCCTAGAGGAAACCCGTTCTGCAGCTGTGGGCCAGGATCGCCTCTGCAGTGGCCTTCCCGGAGGAAAGGGCCAGCCCGCCTTCCTGCCGGGCCGCCCACACGGCCCTGTGGTTCTCGTGCCTGGCTTGCCCCAGGACAACTGGAAACCGCCCCAAGGGGTTACATCTCAACGTTGGTGTTATGGAGAAAGTGCATAAAAGCCAAATTCTGAAGAGGGTTTTTATAAAGCCGTTCTTGCCACTTTTTGAGCAAAATAATGTATTCCTTAAAAAGATCGAATAAAATTTCAAAAGGGAAAGAACATTAGACACTAGCTCATCCTGGGCCTTCTGAAGAAAAAATGGGGGATCTGAGAGACCGGCTGAGAGGGTCCCCAGAATGAGGTTCAGGCCCTCCCCCAAATAAAGCAGCTCCCTGAAAGCACAAGAGAAAATGAATAAAACGAACTTTGTTGCTGGGGCAGAAACCAAACAAGCCAGATGCGGAGGGGGCGGGGGGCGTTCCAGCACTCGGGAAAGGACGGGCCTGTGCAGGATGCCATTGGCCCCACCGGACGCCTGGCGTTTCAAGAAGGACCAGATGACTTCAGGATGCATTCCAATTTCTGTCTGGTATCTGCCTGTTACATTCGAGGCACACGCCCTGGTTTTCCCTTATAACCAAAACCGTTTTACCCGAAATTAACAGGTTTGTCTCTGCTTGGCGTTTTAAGGTCCATCTTAGGGATCCCGTTTTGCTTCTCTCACGTAATTCCCCGTCTGTCCCTTTAAATGGGCCAACGAGCCACTGGAATCACAAATTTCAACGTCAGATGACCAGGGCCCTGCCAGCACAGGCCTTCAGAGCCAACTGCCGGCTGCTTAATTCAGTCTCTCCAGGTTTGGCCCCCGCAGGGACCCCTGTCACCAGCTGACACCTGCAGACGGCATGTCTGGGGTCCTTCTGGCCTTGCAGTCGGGAGCTGGGGCCCTGCCACCGCCAGGCTCACAGCCTCCTTGGGACCCTGTTGCCAGGCCTCAGGGGAAGCCTGAGCCCAGGAGGGCCCCGTCCCTGAGGCCTGAGCTGGGGGAGGCCACGCCAGCTGGACTCAGGTCATGGAGCACAGAGCAGGCAGGAGAGAGGCTCAGTACCACGTGCCCCTCCTGCTGGCGAGGGGTGGCTCCCGGCCCAGGCTGGCCGGGACAGGAGGCAGTGCTGGCCACGCCTCCCACAGGGTCAAGACACGGCCTCGTCTCTGAACAAGGCAGCAGTGATGACCGTTCCCTAAATAGACGTGCCCAGTCCTGCGGGCACCACCCCTCTCTCCCCTCTCCCTCTGGCTTCACGGTTCTGGGGTATCTTGCTGTTGGATTAGGGGGGCCACGTCTGGATGTAACTTGAGGAGGAGACAGTCAGCCGCTGGCTAACTGCACAGGACACCCTTGACCTGACTCCTTTGCCTGCTGACGTAGAGTCCAGGCCCCCTGCTCTATCTCGGGGACGTAGGAGGACAGACACCGGGGAGAACACCCTTCCCTTCCGGAAGGTGCCTGTTAGCAGCTTTCTGCTCCTGAGCTTGCCACGTGTGGATGCTTGTTCTTGCGTTACCCAGAAGGAATTCCTTCGCTCTTTACATGGGATCCCAACCCAGACAGGCCAACGGTTTTGGGGATCGCCACCGATCTCTGCTGTGTACGCAAATGCACTGAGCCTCCTGGAGTCCTCCCCCGGTACAGTCGCCCAGATGGGGCACTGCTTCTCACCAGCTCCTGGTTTTGTGTTAGACACCAGGCAGCTGCGCCTCGCAGTGACGGGGTGATGTACCCCCAAGAGGACACAGTCGGGTTTAGTTTGGACAGAAGTACATGGGAGGAAAGCCAAGAGGTGACAGTCCAGCCCCCAGCCCCGATGGCCTTTCCTTGCTTCAGCGTCTCCTGACGAATGCGACACTGAACTGTCCCTGCACAGCGGCCCAGCTGGCCCGTCCAGAAGGAAGTCGCAGCTGAAGCAGCAGTCAGGCAACCAGCAATCACCCGTCACCATTCGCGTCGCTTTTCAGTCCCTCAGATGGTGTTTTTTTCATTCCAACTGATTTCATTTTGGCCTCAGCGACCGTTTAAGACGAGGCTGCCGAGAACGCTCGGCTGTCACCTTCAGCTGATGGGTTTGGGCAGAACAAGGAGCAGGTGGGAGCCACAGCTGCTGTCTGCCACACGTCAGCGGCCCCAGGGCAGAGGGTCGCTGTGACCCGAGCCCCCGGGCCCTCCTGCGGCTGAGCTCGAGGGCACACCCTCCGGCACAGCCACGGCCACGGCAGCTGCTCCCCACGGCCACGAGAGGACGTGCTTTGAAGAAAAGCAATACCGATTAGGGCAGTCGGGAAAGTGCGCCACGGCCTCAAGACAGGTCCCCGTGGGCTATTCTCGTCGCCTGCCTGAGGTCGGTGGGTTGCTCTGGCTCACACACAGTAGCTTTGTGTGACAAGATAAATCAAAACGGGCCCACGCAGCCTCAGAACAGACTGTCCCGGATGGGTGGTCAGCTTCTGGCCAGTACGTGCCTGCCCACCACTATCACCCAGGTGGCCTCAGAGCAAGGAGACAGGGTCCCCGGGCAGGCAGAACGCTCTAGACTCCACCCTCAAGAACCACTGTGGTGTGTGGGCTGCGTGGCATACGGGGTGTTTCACAGGAACACCCCCACAACTGTCCTCTACGTGTCTGGCTACTCTCAAGCCCCAGTGGCAGGTCGGTCACTGCGACGGGGGCCATCTGGCCAGCAAAGCCCAACGACTACCCGCCTGCAGAGTGCTGGCCTGTGTGGCCTCACTGTTCTCTACTGATCAGGCTCCACCCCAGCGGGGTTAAGTGTTAACTTGTAGGATCAGAAAGCGGGCGGTCATTTCTGCTGGTAGAGGAGCAAACGATTTCTGTAGAACCACCGGGACACCTCACAGCGATGGCCTGTCTGTCCCGTCCTCACCAGTTCTGTGGAGCTTTGAATCCTAACCCTCAGGCTCCTGTGCCCAACCCTACCGGTTTCTGGTATTCTCCTCCCTCCAGCCAGTCTGCCCATCGGCTGGTTCCCTCATCATGGAGTAGGACAGGTGCTCAGTGAGGATCTGTGCCCACGCACGCCTTTGGCTTCCGGAACATTCCATTCTGTGGCACTCTGGCAATGCCTGCCTGGTCAGTGGTTAGCAAAGCAGCTTCGGGCCACACAACATTCTCAAGAGGCAGCAAACCGGTCAGTACCTGGGTGTCCTGGCGGTTGCGGGAGGCCAGCGCAATCTGCCGGGCCAGCTTCAGGGCTTCTATCCGCATGAGGGCAAACTCTAACTCCTCCTGCCCGCGGTGGGCCGGGCACACCACAGGGGGGAAGGTCCCCCACATCCAAGAGATGAAGGTGCCATATGAATGGGCATGACAGGTACTCAGAGAAACACACGCTCCGGCTTTCTCTCCCAAAACCACCTCAGCAGATCATGAAGTAAGTGTTTAATTTCCTTTGCTTTTCAATGGCCCTTTGGCACGGATGCCAGGAAGCCGCAGGCAGCGGAATGGGCAATGGCTTTTAAAATGGCATCGAAGCGCTGCCTGCACGTCTGCGGGACGGCTTTCCTTTTGTTTGTTGAAAGGAAAGACAGCTGGCAATGCCTGGGCGGGTTTGCGTCTCTCTCAAATGTGACCAATCTCTAAGTTTTGCTCTCAACATCAGGGTCTAGAGGATATCAAATGAAGCTGTCAAATTTAAAGCACAGAGTTGCAATTGTTCTGGTTCCAGATGCAAGACTGAGGTGGTATCCCAAAGGGCGTCTGAGATGCCTCTAGCCTGTGGCTCGGGTGACCTGATATCTCGGTTCCGTGAATAAATCACAGAAACTGATGGGGGAGGGGCAATCAAAACTCGTGGAAAACGACCACTTGGGTCCAATTTCCAAACCGAAAGACTTGGGTCTGGCCCTAGCATCTGTCAGTCTGGCGTCTTGGATAAAATACGCCACACGTCCCGTCTCGGAGGGGAGCTAGCTGCTTTGGAACGTGCTCGGCCTCCTATGTCCTCACTGCATCTGGGCTTCAGAGGTTCATTTTCTACTGAGGTTTTGACAAACTCCCCAAACGTCACACGTGGCTACAAACCTGGAGTTTCTGAGCAAATACTGGGGGGTTCTTTTCTGCTAAGTCGGGTTCCAGATAGTCAAGCGCACCACAGAGAGAGGCCGGATGAGCCAGCCTGCTGAGGAGGGCGTCAGCAGAGGCCAAGGAGCCCTCGGAAGCTGTCTGAAGGCCGCAGAGGAGAACAGGAGGGAAAATAGAGGAGAGCAGAGTGATAAAGAGCCCGGAAGGACGCCGCGGCCACCTGCCGGACAGTCCTGCTTGAAGGCTAAAGAGAGTATCAGTTAGGTGCCGCCCTTCCCTGCTCTCTGGACTGGTCCTCACATGCTGAGGATGGGCCTCTTCACACTGGCCGGGCCAGCCCCAGGTGCAGACTCAGTGTCCTCCCCGCCCCCACCCCCAGCCCTCCCCAGCCCGCAGGAGGGCAGTTACCATTTGCGTATTTATTTGAAAATCTCAGTGGGTGGAAGACAAGCTAGTTGACATTTTCTAGGCATCACCTAACTCATGAACAAACACCTCCTAGAATAAATATCAAAGGAAGTAAGGTTGTGGTAAGGGTCGTCTTCTAAGTCATCGAAAGGGGGTTTCAAATGGAACAGGGTCCCCTATGGATCAATGGGCAACTGCAAGTCAGAAGCCAACCCGGGGGAGGTGAGGACAGGGCCGCTTGCTCCTGTGTGGAGACCAGAGCGCCTAGCCGCTCCCCGGGCTCACTGTTCTCCCCCCAGTATCAAACCGCCAGACACACAGTAGGCACTTTACGAGTGTTCCATGGAGGAGCTACAGAAATGGCCTGCTAACACAGAAGAATGATGTAACAGCACAGTAAATCAGCATCCCAGGCCCTCCTGGGGCTGCTAGGAGGCGGGGAGAAGAAGCAATAAAGGTCATCTAGAGAATAGACCTGGGTGGGGGGTTGGCTCCAGTCTACCTGCTCTGCAAGGCCCCAAGGCGGTGAGCTACCAACTCGAGGGATTTCCTATCACCCAGGCCCAGAAAACCAACGGAGAGAGTTCAAAGAGAGTCCCCTAGTCTGCCACTCCCTGGCCTCGGCCCAGAGCATGGGAAGCAGGAGTGTGGCTGAGGGTAGCTGAGCTCTGTCACACTCAGCGCTCAGGGGTTGAAAGGGAACATAAATAATCCTGAAGGCACAGAAGGCTCTTAGGGGAAGTGGAGGCTTTCTCTGGAAATCAGCCCAGAGTGGGGTCTCCTAGGCGGGCCTCTGGGCCTGGTGAATACAGGGCCCTGTAGCGGGATCAACTGCATGGGCCCTCGCGCCCAGCCATCCGGGCCCTCCGACCCCGCTTACGCTTTGACCCCACTCACAATTTCTATCGCTTCTGCAGTGCTGCCCAAGGCCATGGCCTCCAGTTCTTTCTGGGAGGATTTCTCTGGCACCTGTGTGTGTGGTTCCTGGCTGGGGGCCAGCCCTCGTGGAACGGGATGTTGGATCGTCGCCCCGGCATTGACAAGGGCTTCTGTCTCCTCAAAACTTGACCTGCGGAAGTAAAAGGCACCTTCAGTCTTCCCATCAGAAGCCCTGTGGAGGTGGACCACGAGGGCCCCGGTTCCCGAGGGGCCCTGGACACTCAGGGCTGGGCTCTGCGGTACCAAGGGGCCGGGGGAGGGGCTGGTGGGCCTGGCCCCAGAGCCTGCTGACAGCCAGGGCTTGCTCAGGAGCCAGGCAGAGGCCTGGGCTTGGCTGTGCCCCAGGGGAGTGACCAGGTGTGTGTCTCAGTCTGTAAGGTAGAGACAACACAGTTCGTGACGCGCAAATGAGACGCTGCGTGTGAAGTGCTGGGCCCGGCCGGTCACACGGCCGCTCCTGTGAGGACCGTCCCACCCTCCTCCGCCTCACTCCCCTGGGCAGATTCTGGAGTAAGGTTGGGACGTCAAAGCAAGAGCTGTCACTCTGCACAGTGGGAGAGGCAGGCAGGAGAGGACAGGAAGGCCCCAACTCAGGGACACCGCACTCCCCCGGGCCAGCACCCCATGGCTCAGAGCGTGGCCCCAAGTGCTCGTGTTCACACCCCAGTTAGTCACACGGTCTCTCAGGCATGTTATGTACGTCAGGTCCCAGGATGCTCTGCTCACAGCAGAGGTACCCCAACCCCAGCACACAGCTGTGGGGGAGCAACGAAAGCCTCACTTAATTGTCAAGAAACCCCTACAGGATTAGTTTATTCGTTTATTCGTATCCTCGGTCAATACAGGAGGAAGCTGCAGCCCGGGCGGTCGGTCAGGTGACTGGCATCAGCTCACACAGCCAGGAAGGGCTGCGGTGGCCACTGGGGTCTCAGTGAGCGCCATGCTGGGGGCTTGCAGGAGGGCTTGTGGCTGTAAAGGGAGTTCTTAGTCTGGCACCAGAGCTCCCCCATGTATGGCCATGGAGAGACCGAGCTCACTGCTCGGGTTGCCTGGACACGTGCAGATGGACGGGGGACAGACAGAGGGCTGGACCCCAAGCTCTCCCATCACGGAAGCCGTACCCTGAACACGGCGTCGGGGACTCGGACATCCGCACAGGGGGAGACTTGACCGGGCTCTCCTGAGAAGTGTCAAACATAAGGTACAAGGCCTGCTTCTTCGGGGCGTCATCATCCTGCTGAGGGAATCAAAGTCACGCGTCAGCTTGGCCACGGCTGGCCAGAACATGCCACGGAGGTGAAGCCGGAGCATTCTGCAGGGGCCAACAGCTAATCAGGGCCAAGCCTGCCCTCTGCGAGCCTCCAGAGGAGAAAGCGGAGTGGTGGGGGAGGTCATGGAGGACGGGGACAGGTGCTGTGAGCTGTGAGCGGCTCACCCATCCTCACTTGCCACCCACTTTCTCTGGGTTGCGGAGGATAAAGAAGGGTAGGTGAGACCCATTTGGGTGTTGCCCAGTCAGGTGAGGAGGCCGAGCTGCGTGGCCCAGCTGCGTGACGGGCACAGTCATTGGGGTTCGCTGATGTGCAGCAAATGGTTGAAGTAGCAATACAGCAGCCACCCAGTGCAAAGAAAGACAGAAAGAGCACGAGCCTTGTCCCACTAGGTGTTCGGGCAAGGCCTGTGGGCGCACCAAGGCCTGGGGGCGTCGCTGGCAGCAGTCCGACGCCAGAGGAACGGAATGCCCGGGAACGGCGCTACGAAGCCGGGGAGACAGCTACCCCAGAGTGTAAAGGGGGTACACTTACTGCCCGAAGACACAGCCTTCGTTGCTAAAGCAATTAATTTGAAGAATACAGATTATGGGTCACCTGAAAACCAACCAAATCACTCCTTGCCACCCTTTTCACAGAAATCTCTAGGGAACGAATTCTTCAGGAAGCCAAAATGCATCTAGCATCTTCTCCCAGAAAATGCCACCGACAAGGACTGAGAGCACAACTGAACCCCCTCCCTTCCAGTTCCCCATCAGTGCCCATCCAAGACGCTGCAGGCACAGGGGACCCCGATTGAGGCCTGAGCTGCAGGAGCACACTGCACACCACAGGAGGCCAGTGCCTAGCTGCCAGAACAAAGGACGGGGTGGGAAAGTAAGTGTCCAGCAGGCCCACACAAAAGACTCACAGGTAAGGAGGAGCCAATTTTCTCCATATATTCAATTTCATAGGAGTTTCGGTAATCCAACTCTGCAAAAAGAAATAAAAGGAAAGGTCAGCAAGAGACAAAGATGAAAGGTTTGGGCTGGGCAGGGTGGGTCCAGGGCAAGGCTCTGAGCTTTGTGAGAACGTGTACCAAGTTGCTGAGAATTGAAGAGGCGCTGCTCAGCTACTGTCAGGCAGCTGGTGGACCTCCAGCTGTTCAGCCATTGTCAGACAACTGGTCAACCTCTGGCTGCAGGGGGCTTCTGCCACCTGGGAGTGTGTAGTCAAGGAGTAAAACGTCAGGCCACAAACAGGGTTGACTGGGGACGGCGCTGGGCCTCCTGTGCCCTGTTTTCAGGTCAGAGCGTGATCTAGGGGTTGGGCAGTCTGCTGTGTGACACAAACAAATCTCCCCATGTCCCAATGACATCTGCTGCTGGACCACAGTGGCCCCTTGAGAATCCAGCTTCAGTTCTACTCAGAAGCAAGGGAAGCCCAGCTACTATGCCTATGCCGGCCAGAGGAGCTTTGTGGGTCATCTGGACCCTTTTCTAAAACTCCAACAGGGCTGACAGGCCAGTCCCAGTTATTTTCAGATGTTAAGACTACTAAAGTCCAACTGGGTGGAGAAAGGACCTCTTTCAAAATTTTTTTGACATAAAAGTAAATAGCAGGGCCCTCCCTGGTGGCACAGCAGGTTAAAGCGCAGCACTGAGAATCTAAAGCCGCTTCCGCATGAGTTTGATCCCCGCCTGCCCCGGAGGTGACCACATGGCGCGGCAGACCTCTCCTGACCCGCCCGCTGCTCCCCTCAGCAGTGGACTTCCTCGATCTGCCTGTTCTGCTCCCCCCTCTGTCTCTGGTGAGGCCTCTCGCTATCCCTGCACCTCTGGCCTGTACCCCTGCTCTGTATGCACAAATAAATAAATAAATCTTAAAAAAAATAAAAAAGAAATCTTCTTGGGCCCTCCCTGGTGGCGCAATAGGTTTTAAAGCGAAGTACTGTGAAGCTACTGCAGCCACTGCAGCGCGAGTTCGATCCCCACCCCAGAGGTGACCCACAGGGAGCAGCAGACCTCTCCCGACACCTGCTGCTGCTCCCTTTAGCAGTGTACTTCATCGATCTGCCTGTTCTGCTCCCCACTCTGTCTCTGTGAATCCTCTCACCCACGCTGCACCTTTGACCTGTACCCCATGCATGCATAAGATTTATTTAAATAAATCTTAAAAAAAAAAAAAAGAAATCTTTAACGTGAACGGTAGAATGATACTCTTCCTGGAAGACTGTCTCAAAGCCTGCAAGGCCGTGTGTGGTGATGGCTGGATCAACTCTAGCCTGAAACGGGCGGCTGACTCCCAGCAGGCTCTGCTCCTCCTGGAGAGGCAGACATATCCTTGCAGGAGGCACAGGCTGCTGGCAGGAATAACACGGTTTGTGTATGAACAACCACAAAGGCCCTGGGCATCCGGCCAGCACAGGCCCAACCCAGGCATCACTTGGAAGGACAGAGACTAGACCACACGCCGCCCGCGTGGGACCGGCGGCCAGGGGGTCTGGCGCTGTCATGTGGGCCTGTCCCAACTTAAGACACAGAAACGACTGTTTATAAAAACTTAATTTCCTCGCACCTTAAAATGAGAAGTACAAGAGGGTTTGCAAGGGACACGCTGATTTCTAGGGCCTTTTCTGGATCTATCTCTGTCCAGGTCTGTTTTATTATCCCACAAAGACTGTGTAAGTGAGACGGTAACAGTGAATCAGCTCCCTCCCTCTCCAAGGAGCCATTATCATTGCCAAGTCCCTACGTGACCCCAAAGCGCACTCCATGACGTATGCATCAAGTACACTAAGGAGCACCGTCCAGATTCTGGGGGCCCTGGGCCTGAGTCAGTACCCTCGCAAAACCCTCACGTGGAATCTTAGCTGGTTTCCTGGCAGCTGGAATCTGGGTGAGTTTGAGGCCAATGAGCTCACTGATCCGCCTCCTTTGGGCTGCCCCAGGGCCCCCCTCCAAGGCAGCACTGACAGGGAGGTGGGGAGCCTTCCAGAGCGGCATCTGCGTAACTCCACACAGGCACTTCAGCTGCAGGGAGCTGATCCAGCTGAACTCACCCTGCAACTTCCCATCAAAGCCACTCAGGTTCTCATTTATAATTTACAAAATGGTCTGGACAGGATGTGCAGAAAAACAAAGGCCCCTGCTTCTCATCAAGGTGATCGCCAGTACTTGGCTTTCAACATCCTCACTCACCTGCTTAAAGTCCTAAGCTCAACGGGTTGACTGGGAGGGGAACCCCATTCTTTACACCAAGACCCCGCAGTTGGAAGGCCAGGAAGTGGCACTGTCCCCACAGCCACGATAGGGGGCACGTGAGAAAGATCTGGTCAAGCTGAAGGGCCCGGGGTTGTCCTGAGTCTGGTCACAGACTAGGGCTGCTGTGGGTGATGATTTCATACCAGGTACCCAGGCGAGGGTTGGACACTCGTCTGATGCTGGTTGCTAGTTTCGGGGGGCCCAGAAGGAGCCCAGGCAAGGAGGAGGTAGCTGAAACCAAGTTATGTACCCAGGAGGGGAAGCCAACCACTGTTTCCCCACGGCTCCTGACTGACACAGGAGTTAAAGTGCCTACGCTCTGTGGGATAGCGTGAAACGACGTGGGGGGGGGTGTCACACTGCACAAAAAGGTCAGGGATGGCCCATCACTGCTCATCACTAGTATTTGTGTAACGTTTAACCCAAGCGCTGAGGAAATTAGAGAGCTTTCCAGAGGAGACGGGGGCTGTTCCCACATCCTCTGAATGTCTGTACCCTAGGACAGTGCCATCCAAGTCGGGATTAGGTGATGCCGTCGGGGGTGGGAGGAGGCCCAAAGAAGGGCAGAAGCCAAATCCCGTGACTCTGGGTTCGGGGTGGAGTGAGAAGATCCCAGATGAGTCTCCTGGATGCCCCAGCCTCAGGGCCCACCAGGGGCTCACCAAGGGCCCCTTTTGTGGAACACACAGCCCACACTGTGCCCTCTGGGTCACCCTCTCCTCTTCCAGCCCTGGACAATCTCCTCGACACCCACAACGCATGAGCTGGGTCTCTCGCTGTGCCACTCAGACACCTCCTTGGCACCAACCGCGCTCCCACGAAGCCCCCCAGAGGACGCATCCCGAATTGACGGTCAGACAACTGGACCTCAGTTACTTCACCATCCTCCTCGCTGTCCTAGTCGGGATGGGAGGTGGGGACAGGACAGTGAGGTCTTTAGGCGTGACTGTCCACACAGAGCCTGCCACTCAATTCTGTCTAGTTGCCAGAAAACAACACTTTGGAAAGAGAAACTTAGAACTTGGAGCGCTGACCGAGGGCTGGTTCTGGGTCATGGCTGGAGATGGGCCGAGGGCAAGGGCCAGGAGGGGGACGTCAGAGCAGGAGTCAGGGACGGGGCTCAGCCCCCCAGGAAAGGCCTCTAGCCACGCTCATCAGCTTTCTGAACGAGAAAGGACAGGAGGACGGAAATGGAAAGCGTCAGAGAAATCAGGGTTTGTGGAATACGCCTGCAGTATCTCAGTTAGCCGAACCCTGCTGGGCTGACGTCAGCTGCAGGTCAGGTGGACAGCTGAGAATGGACACACAGAGGATGAAGACACTGAAGGAAAGCCACGTGCAGGGCCATTCCCCCAGGGCAAGCCGGGGCGATCTTTGGGCTGGCAGCAGGTGTGGCCACCCTGGGACCAGTCGTGGGGACGATGACCGGGTAGCCACAGGGGCCCAGCAAGCACCGGGCTTGACTGACGCTCGCTTGGAACTATTCTTTAGACTCTTGGGGGTCCCGAGTCGCAGACGGCGCAGGACGAGCAGTGTCCAGGGATACGTCCTCACGGCTGCTCTCGTCTAGTCAGGGACAACCGGTTTCAGGCCCAGGCAGCAGCAGCGGGGTGCCTGGGGGATGGCGCCCCGCAGTCACCTGGCATGGCTACTTCCTGCGGCCTGGGCCCCAGGGGCAGTGGTGTCGCGGCAGGGCGGGGTCTGGCTGCTCACGGAACCGCTTACCCTCCGAGGGGGAACTGAACTTGGTCTCGTTCACGAAGGTGGACAGGTCCGAGGGCTGCGGGTAGTCCTGCTTGTCGGCCTCCAGGTCCACCGTCATGCACGCCCACTTCTGGCTGGTGACGGCCAGCTTCTCCTCGTCGGTGGCGTGCACCACGGCCAAGATGACCGGCGGCGATTCTGGGGTGGCCGCTGGTGTGGGGTCCTGCAAAGGAAAGGAGGGCAATCTATTTTCAGCCAGTCGCTGTGTCTGCAATTGCACTCGCCCTGTCAGCCCCGAGCCCCCCTCACCAGGGCAGCTTCCTGTCCAAAGCTCCTGTACCCCGAACCTCAACTCTGTTCACCAGGTTCCCAAGAAAACCATGTCTTTTTCCTCCACAAATGTCCTTTCCTGCTGGCTTTTTTTTTTTTTTAAAGGAGGTGACCTTGGGTTTAAAAAATAAAAACCAGGATCTTAGGATCTTTTGAAAAAAAAAAAAAAAATAACACAACTCTGGCCACTGAGACTTTCTCGGCTGTGGCCACTGTGTGTGTGACGCCCACAATGCACTTTGGGGCCAGCTGCGAACTCCCCAGACAAGCCTCACGGTCCGCAGGGAGCAGAGAAGGGACTCGTGTCTCCCTCCATCTGCACGGAGGGCGCGTGACGGAGCCCGGAGCCCGAGGCTCCTCCCGGGCCGGCACCTCTCGCTGCAGCTCCCGGGGGGCTGCCTGGGGCATCGGTGGCTCAGTAGGGAGGCGGGCAGAGCCCGCTTTACGCCCTGGGGGCCTGGCATCCACACCTGGGCCCACCTCCCGTGGTTCGCAGAGGCTAGACGCTGCGGTCACATATCTGGTCGAGGAGGCCGCGAGGGAGAAGAGCGTGCCGGACAGCAGAGCTCAGGACGCGCCTCCCTGGAGGGCCCCTGCATCTCCCCACGCTGACAGCTACAGCCGCCGGCACTCTGGAGGCTCCTCCCGCTTTATATTCACATTGTCTCAGCACACTCGCAAGCCGACATTCGCGTGCGTTCTCTGCCAGGCGACAGGCAGGGCGAGGGGCCAGGATCGTCTCATCTGGACACACTGCTCTTCCCCAAAGCGAAGTGTCTCGCATACGCGGAGGGACCCCCCCATGCGGGAGGCAGGGGGGACGCAGGCCCGTGATGAGCAGAGAGCAGGAGTGGGGAGTAAAACCACCCCAACCCCGGGTGGGCGATGAACACCTGAGTCCCGCAGGAACACCATACCTGAGAAGGTGGGTCAGACAGTGGGGACCGTTTTGGCGACTTTTTCACCCTAAATGTGTCACTGGAAACAAAATGGAGAATGTAAACACAAGAAATAGGTACAGAACACCCCAGAAGCACAGAGCCCGGAGCCACAGCCCCTGCCGAGGGCCCTCACCACCCACACGGCCAGAGGCTGTGCAAGCCCGCCCCGGTGCTGGGTTGTCCCAGGGGGACAGCAGCAGGCGGGGGAGATGCCATTTTGGAGAGCCGGCCCAGAAAATGGGCTAAATTTAGCCAGATGTTCTTATTTTGAAAGCAAATGTTTTGGCGAGCACAGTAACGGATTGGGGTTCACCCAGGAACGTCTGAGCCAGCCACGGGGAAGGAGGGAACGCGGTTCTCAGCCCACGAACAGGGTCCAGGGACACAGCAGCTGGCTACAGTGACCGTCCAGCAGGACAGGACGGAGGGCGCTGGGGCTTCCGCCCCTCGGGAGGCCTGAGCTGCTCGGGGAGCCTGGCCAGAGGCAGGGCGGGCGTGGCTCTGAGGTGGGCAGGACACGCCCACCACATGGAGCTGGCCTCGGTGACCTAGGACAACTGAGCCCTGAAGGAAAGAGTGGACTTGAGCACAAGAATCAAGACCAGACTTGCTGACCCCAATGGGCGCCCCTGTGGGGGAAGCTTCTGGAAGGTAGTGGTGTCACCTGTCCTGTGTGGAAACTTAGCAGTGATGGACGCCCGCTGGGCAAACACCAGAGAGGAAGAGACCTCACCACTGCCGGTCCCACAACGGAACAGGTGGGATCCACACCCCACATCATTCCCATAAGGACTGGTGGGGCCGGGCGGGCGGCAGGCAGGGCTCAGGTCAGAAGGCTCCACTCAGCCCAAGGGGCAGTCAGAGATCACCCTACCAGCCCCCGGCCCCTGCTTGGGTCTCGGGGCCTCTGTGCCATGGCGCTGTGCCCACCAAAGCAAGGGTCTGGGGGATCCCCTTACCTTAGCCCCCACTTTCTCCCCTGTTCTAGGCTTAACCGCCAGGGCAGGGCACCCTGGCACTCATGCTCCTTCCTCACGTTTTCTCACACAAAACACCCCAACAATGGCATCAGTCATGAAAGTACTCTAAATGGTTATTTATAGCACTGATGGCATTTGCCATCCGAACAGCACGGTCCCGCTCACAGCATATATTTATTCATGCATATAAATATATAACTGTGTATTTCTAGCAGCTCCATGAGTCTAAAATCACTAAGGACATCCCTGGGGCAGCAGCGGGCCTGAGAGAGTCAGCCCTGTCCCAGGGCTGCGGGGTGGCGGCGACCAGTTTCCCTATAAACGCCAGGGGCAGAGGACAGGCCTGTCCCCAGGACCTTGGGAGCCACCGCGAGGACCCCTGGGAGAGGACGCCCTCCAGCCCGGGAGGCGGAGCACAAACACGGCCCCCTGCTTCCAGCCACAGCGGACAGGCCGCTGTCCGGTGTGATCCTGGGCTCCACTCTGGGGTGACCCTGCATTTCAGGGGTCTCCCGAGAGTGCCCCTTTGGAGCAGCCCACACACATCTGCTGCCCACATTTGCAAGAACAAGGCATGGCAGGCGCCACTGGTGGACAGACAGGGGTGGTTTTCATGCGAAGCCACAGGACTGGCGAAGCTTCTGCCGGAGTCCAGTTTAAAATGCAAGAATGGGATGAGGGGTTTAAACAAAAAAGGCGGTTTCAGACGAGACACCCGGCGGGAGGGGGGACGGGCCACCCCGGCCGGCAGGCAGGTGCTCACAGCCACGTTCTCCCAGCCAAGCGGTCTCAGGAGTGCTAAGGGCCAGGAAACAGGAGGAGCCTGGCCCGCTGGGAAGCCCCGTGCCCGCCCCTCCCAGGCCCACCGCAGAAATGTGTAAGTAGCAGTGGGGAGGAAACGAGAAGAACATGAAACCGAAGACAAGGGCAGGACAAAGCACATGGAGCGGGAGAGGCAGATTCCATTCAATTTACTTACAACAGAGAACACACAGACATCACATCTTCAACCATCCTAAGACAAGAAGACAAAGAAAAGGAGAGACAGACAGAAGGAACTGACACGATAGCTCCAGCTGCAGACATCTGGCGATCGTGGGCTCGGGCACACAGCCAGCCCCGGCACCCCCCTCTCTTGCTTCCATCACCCCATCGAGTGTGGGAGCCTGCAGGTTCCACGCCAGCAGCGCTGAGGGGGCCCCTCCCTGCCCCCCACTAGTGCCAGTTAGAGAAAGGGCGTGCAGGCCTCTGTGGGGCCAGGGGGGGGGTAGCAGATAAACTTTCACCCCAGCATGAGAGGGTCTGGGCATTTCAGATTCTCCCTCTAAGCCTTAAAACTTCACCACAGGCTCTAGTCCGGTCCAGTTTTGGGCAGGGCTGCCCTCCTCCGACCGGCGCGGCCCCAGGCCAAGGCTGCTTAGAGCACCTCTCCTCAGGAACCCCAGTCAGTACCTCTCAGTGTGAAATGCTCCAGGGACCCCAGAACAGGAGACAAGCAGGTCGCCCTGAGCGAACCCCTGCCAGGCCGAGTCAGGGACGGCAGCTCAGGAAGTCGGGTCTCCAAAGCCATGTTAAATGTTGACTACACAGAGTCACGTGAGAGCGAGGACAAAGTCTCCCAGCACCAGACCCTGCTATTCTGGGACCAAAGTCCCGAGTCGGCTCTGAGCCCGGCCAGTCAGAGCTGGGGGTAGGAGTGGGTGCTGGGTTTAAGGACAGTCTCTTCACAAGCTTCTGGGGACAACAGACCCAAGCGCCGACAGCCCCCGGGGGCCATGGGGTTGGCTTCTGCGTTTCTGTGGTGCTGGGGCCCAGGCTGGACCTCCCGCTCACCGGGGTCACCCCCTGGGCAGCTGTCTCGTCCACAGCAGAAACCATGGCTGTGCATCTGACACTATTATAAAGGGCACACCTGGGCCTCCCCGGTGGCGCAAGGGGTTAAGACGCAGTGCCATGAAGCTCTCTGCGGCCGCTGCAGCACGAGTTCCATCCCCGGCCATGGAGTGACCCACAGGGCGCAGCAGACCTCTCCTGTCTCCCCGCTGCTCCCCTCAGTAGTGGGTTCCAGTCCATCTGCCTGTTCTGCTCCCCGCTCTGTCTCTGGGGAGTCCTCTCACACCCCACCCTTCTGGCCTGCACCCCAGCTCTTGTATGCAGACATCTCTTCGCTTCTAGGCCATTCTGACAGGCAGTTCTCGTGTGAATCGGGGCAAAGGTGAGGTGCCCCTAGGGAGGTGGCCCGTTTTCATGGCATCTCCCACACTTCCCGGGAGCTGAGTGTCAGGCTTTTAGCTAAAAGGGAAGCTTTACACTGTGACCTCTTCAGGCAAAAGGCCAAGGACTCTCAGCCCAAAGGGCCACGTGGAGGGGAAATGCCCCCACGTGGGACGCAGAGGGCAGCAGGTGCCCCGCCTGCGTGGGCTGGCCAGCGTCCTCACGGTGGGGACGGGAGGGGGCGGTTAGGGCGGCCCGGGCTGCCCAGGCCCTGGAGCGAGGATTACCACTGCACCCCTGAACTTACGTCTTTAGGGGCGTCTTCTTCTTCTTGGCGGGCTTGCTCAGCCCATCCCCATCCACGCCGTTGGTGTCTGCGGCGCTGGCTGGGATCTCAAAGGAGGCTGGGGGTTTGGAAGGTGAGCTGGGGGGCCTAGAGGGTGCCTGAAGGGGTTCCGCGGACTCGTCGCAGGCGTCCGGGTCAAAGCTGTACGACTGTTGGGGCAGTTTGGGGGACTCCTGCATTTTTGAGGTGGAAGAAAAGGGGTTAAAATTGGGGTCGTCCCACTTGTCAATATCAAAGGTGTAGGTACCTTTAGCAATAGGGGTGTCGCTGGGCTCGGCGGGGGAGCCGGTGGGAGAGGCAGGGGTGTTGTCGAGTTTCTCGGGCGTTTTTTTCATCTTTGGCCTCCTCAGAGGCATTTTGGCCACCGGCTTCTTGCCTAGCTTTTTGGTAGGAGGGGGGTTTTCCTGCTGGGTGTCCCAACTGCCCTGGTCCTCAGAATAGTCAAACTCCAGCCTCACGGCAAGCCCCTTGGCCGGGGCGTCCTCCTGCCCCCCGCTATCTGACGGGGGCAGCTCCGCCGCCCCGGGGGCCGTGGCCAGAGGCGCCGTTTTCCGCCCAACGGGGGGTGAGTTCTGCAGGGCGCCGGCCCCTCCCGCGGCCTCCGAGTCCGGGGGGCAGGCGGCCTGGGGCTCGGCGGCGGGCTCGAGGGCTGCCTCTTCCGACGAGGCTGGCCCAGAAGCCCCCACCGCCGCTGGGTCCGCCTTGGGGTCGGCCGCGGCGTCCTCGCCGGGCCCGGGGCTCTCCTCGGCTGGCTCCTGGTGTGTCTCCTGCACGGGGGGTGTTTCTGGGGGCTTCTTGGCGGTCTGCTTCTTTTTTAAGGAAGGCGGCCTGGGCTTTTTAGTTCGCTTAAGGGTGCTGGAAGCGCTGCTCGAGCCCGAGCCGTAGGCGTCCGGGGCCGGGGCCGCGGCATCCGCGTGGCCTGTGCAAGAAGCACCATCAAAGTCGCCAGCCTGCAGGCTGAGCGAGCGGGACAGGGCGGACTTGGAGACGGGCACGGAGTCCGTGGACTTCCTCCGCGCACTGGCTTTGCGCTCCTGGCTCTTAGAGTCCGAGGGGCGCGGCTCCAAGGTCTGGAAGGAGTCGACCAGCTCGATGCTGTCAAAATCCAAGTTGTAAGTGCCGCTGCTGGCTATCGGCTTGTCTTCATCGAAGACGGCAGAGAAGGAGTGTGACGGAGGCCGGAAAGGGCTTCCCTCCACGGAGTTGCTTCCTGGGCCATCGGGAGCGGGGGTGGGCTCAGGCCTGCATCCTGAGGGCAGAGACAGCCGTCACTTACGGGCACGCATGCTGGCAGAGCCCCTCGGGACGGGCGCCCCAGCCAGCGGCCACGCGACTCGGCGCGGGTCCTGTTCCCACCCACTCTACCTGCAGACCCTGGACGACTCGCCCTCGGTCCCCTCCCCTGCACAAGGGGGCCTTTAAGGAAGAGCACGGGCCACCCCGTCCTCAAACACCACTTACCAGGGGCTCAGTCAGGTCCAGGTACTAGTATAGCTGCTGGGGATTCGGCAATGAAACCAGAGACAAGACCCTTCCCCTCCTGGAAGTGACATCCTCAGGAGCAAACTCTAGACAGCAGGTGGGCTGAGGGAGCCCTAGCGGCTTCGCAGTTTTAAATCAAGGTGATTTGGGCCAAGTCCTCCAAGGGGAAGGCTTTTCAGCAAGGCCAGAAACAAGGCCTAGGGCGAGCCTGGAGGACAGCCGGGTGGAGGTGTCCTCGGCAATGAGAACAATAAGAGCAACGTCCTGGGGTAAAAATAGCCGGAGGGCTACAGACACACCAAATGGCCAGAGCGAATCAGCCTTCAGTTAATGTCCACTGCTGCCAGCACCAACGGGCTCTTCGGCCACCATAAAGGAGGAGGGGAGCTGCCGCTGCCCCACCCAGCCTGGCCTCGCCCGCAGCCTGCAGCCCTGCCTGCCCCTGCCCCTCTCACCTCAGCTCTCTGCGCCTCCTCCCAGCTTCTGTCTCCTGGGCCTCTGCCAGCCCAGGAGGCGGCTCCCTCTCTCCCAACCTGCTGCAGAGTCCGGCTGCGGCCAGACCTCGGTGCACCCCAACCCCCCACCCCCGGGCCCTGGAGGACCAGGTGCGGCCTGCCCGCATTTCCGGGCTCACAGCTGCCCCGGGGAGTCGGCATGCCGGACAGTGACTGGCCAGTAAACCAAGAACACGTCCCCAGCCGAGCAGGCCCAAGGCCGCAAGCAGCCTGCAGGCCTCGCGCAGGGAGAACGGGGAAGCAGGATGCGCGTGTGCCGAGGGCGGTGCCCAAAGCCGGTCACCAGGACAGGAGTCACGTCCCCTCCCCCTCGGCCGCGGCCCCCAGAGGAAAAGGCCGCTCAGCGAAACCTGAATCTCGGAGCGATGGATCTGCTCTTTGGGGTGGGGGTGTCCCAGGCCCCGGCGACGCCAGCTTAACCAGGGGGCCTGCCTTTTTGTTTGCTGGGTCTGGCAGCCCTTTGCTTTATTCCTGGACCCAACAAGCTGGCTTCCTCCTGGAGATCTCCTCGGGGAGGTCCGTGCCTCACTGCGCATCGCAGGTGGGGGAATTCGCGTGGCTCTTTCCAAACTCCGCCCTGGGCGGAGGAGCCCTGGCCACGAAGCGCTGCCGGGAGATGCCCACACCGGGGGACTCCCGGCCTCCTGGGCCGACGGCTGGCCTGGCCTGGCCTGTGCTGGGCTTGCCACGCTCTCTCTCGCAGGCTCCGTGAACACCCCTGCCACGGACTCCACCTTCTGAAGTGCGTCCACTGGCCAGTCCGCACGAAGCCTCCCTTTCCTTGTGCCCAGGGCCGCCCAGCCCCCCAGAGCAGATGGCCCAGAAGATGGATCTCTGCTCGGAAGCGTTCAGCTTTGCTCGCAGCTTTTGCTCCACCGAAGGATCCCTCCCTGTCTCCAAAGCCCTCCTGCTTCCTTCCCAACTCAGAAGAAGGGGTGTCTCCCGCCCTTTTCCTTAAAACCAGCTCTGTTCCTATTTCCCTCATCAACTCCCTCCTCCTTGGTCTCCCTGCCCCAGACGCAGTCGACAGAGCACGGGAGGGCCAGGACACGCGGCCCCGGCGCCCCGAGTGGGCCTTGCCGATGAGGAGCCTGAGCCCAGCCCGGCGTTTCCACAGCAAGCCCAGAGCCCCTCCGCCAGGCTGCTCCCGGCCTCGGCTGTCCAGAAGGGACCCTGGGCTGCACGTCAGCGCTCTGGTGCGGCTTCAGCAGACCCCAGCTTAGCCATCTGCTCGCGGCTTCTCCAGACGAGCTCTCTGCCTGCCCAGTGCACCTTTGCTCTTTAGAGTTGACATCTAAGTAAATCATCACGGGCCAGGAAACCCATCTCACTGTTTCTTAGCCTCCACTCTATGGCCGTGCGGACCTAGTCAGCAGCGCTGCCCTGGTTCCAGCTTCTGGTCAGTCTGATGCCCAACTCAGCATCCTTGCTCTGTGAAACGCAAAGCTTCACTTGACAGACCTGGCTTCTGTGGGTTCTGCAAGCCCTGACCACGGCATCGTCAGGCTGGCCTCTCTGGAGGTCTCTTCCGGGCCATGTGGCCGTGTGGGCACATCCTGGAGTCTCCTCTGCTTCTTACGGGAGTGCCAGTCCCATCAGAACCCCCACCCTCACCTCCTGGCACTCCGTTTCATCTTCATCGCTCTATAAAGTGCTGTCTTCAAATACAGTCACACCAGGGTTAAGCTTCGGCATGCGAACTTGGGAAGAACACAAAGCAGCCCGTAACAATAGCACTAGGCTGTTCCCAAGCTAAGAGGAACTGAGGGGGAGGCAAAGAGGAGAATTTTCCCAGCAAAGGGAGGGAGCCCAAGGGAGCCACCACCAACATCTGTCACTCACTTTCTCGAAGGCCACAGCCCTGTCTAACCCGAGGCACCTGCTGGTGTCTCCCTCTCCTCCTCCCTTGGTGAGCTGGCACCCAGAGCCCAAAGGCCCGAAGGTGTCATGGCAGGGGACCCGGCCCCATCTTAGACCCGTATGTCGGGAGAAATGGCCCTAAGCCCTGAGGCACGGCCGCCACCCTCTATGCAATGAATGATCACCCGCGGCTGTCACGTTTATTGCGGAGAAGGTCTTCATTTTCATCAGCTCACGATACAAATGAAGCGAGACCTCCATCCTCACGTGGCACCTTGCAGCCAGCTCAGAGCAAGCCCAGGATGAGCCCTAATGTTTCCCATCTAAGACACACCG